CAAAGATTGCTCTCTCTTTTTTGTCTTTTACACTCTTGACTTTCCCACAAAATGAATAATTTGGAGGAAATGAATAGTTAAAAAGAGCATTGCTCTGTTGTGCTCCAGCTTGCTATGACATGAGCAACTGGGCACCAATCACATAGCTCTGTACCAAATGAGGTGGGAGAGGAAGAGGCCCAAGGACCAACAAACATTCCTGCCTGTGAAACTTTGAAAAATGCACTGCCTAAGGTAGTTCCCTATACTCACTACACCATTCTGAATGTAGACAGTTCAGTACTCCTGAACAAAGGAGGAAAAGGGAGTGGAGGGAAAGGCAACCGAATAGAAAAGTGTGACAGAACAGCCAGGCTCAAAATTAGAGGGCAGCTGAGGCCAAAATGTCATTCTTGCAGCTGTAGCAGCAAGCACCACCACCCAGCCTGGAATTCCAGTACCAGCTTCCCTACACACGCACGCACACAAACACACACGCCTACTCGGCAAGCTGTCTGCACTGGGTTTCTTGTTTTTGCTGATTTAACCTCACGAAAACCAGATTATTCTTTAGGATTCACTGTGACGAGCTAGTGCTGAGCTCAAACACACAGATCAACCCACTCAAGAAGACAAAAAGGATTTTGCTGCATTTGGACCAAAAGGCCAACTGCGCAGCTCTAAACTGAACTTGCAACCAAAGGTGGAGAAAGGAAGGTCTGTCTCTCTTAGGAAACAGAGGCAGTTTCTTCAGCTACATGTGTAATTCTTTGAGAAAATTACTATACCTAGTAGATACCAGCCTTCTCCAACACAGTACAATCCACATAGTAGAAATCACCATTATTCCCAACCATCATATCATCCTGGCTGAGACTATGGTGGTACAGCCCAAAAAGGCCATAGTGGATCAACAATGTGAAAGACATCTCAGAATTAACCTGGATTCTATTCTTCTTACCAGTAGGAAGGTCTTGCAGCTGTAAGGATTAATAACCAGGACTTGGGCAAAAGAATGTGGCTTTGAACACAGTGCACCCAGTTTTGGTGCCAAAATTCACAGACAACCTTGGAAGTCACTCCTTTAAAATCTCCCTTATAAGGTAATTCTAAGAATGTACAGAATACTGTACGTATATCACAAGACACTCTATGTATCAAGAGAAAGCATTATAGCCAATATTTGATAGTACTAAAGAAACAATCCTGCTTTAAATTAGAAGAAGGTTGTTTATGTTTTCAGGATGATTTAGCTTGCAATGTAAGGAAGACCGTCTCGTTCAACACTTAAGACCCAGTCTTGAAACAAAAAAGCGCAATCCCACACCTCTTTGAATTCTTCATTCCCTTGTTCTATAAGCAGGCTTGTTTTCCTTTTTATTCTTGTTCCTTTTAGGGCATTTTTTTCCAATTGTAAAAAGAGAATAATGGGGTATTAAATAAAAATCTGCACAATCTTGCGTTGTTTGTTGCCTTCTATAGTGCTCTGCTGTGTAAGAAGTAAGAAACTGACTAATGAGAAGATCCCACCTGACAAAGTCCTTCTAAGCCAGGATCTCTTCCAAACAACCATAGTCATACCATCACACCAAACTACAATATATGCAACAGTTCCTGGAATCCCACTTGCTGTGCCTCACTTTCCTAGGGCTATATTCAAAATCTGGGGGGGGGGGGGAATGAAAGATGGAAGAAAGCAATCAGGTAATATTCTTGTACTCAAGCTTTGTGACTTGGAATAGCCCTGATTTTGGGATTAGATTACAGTTTTCTATCATTTTTCCTTTTGAGTTAGATTATTATTATTCCCATTTGACCGCTGGCAAATCAATATAGTTGGTATATTTTATGAGTCATGACCAAAAACATCGTGATATCTTCACTTGGGCCTTTTTCTTGGAAAAGAATTAAATTCTGCTCAGTTTCAATGCTAGGCAGCCAATCCTACACAATGAAAATTAGATCCAAGCTATACATTCTAGGAATACATATGGCAGAGACCTAGAATTCCACTATTTTGGAATGTGTATTTGGCCATCTGCATGTTACTAAATTAGTATTATCATTCAAGGCCCTAAAATAATGTAGGGCCATGGACCACTTGATCTCTGACACACATATACACCATCACTTTTATCCTTACAGGAAAACCTTCCAAGCACCACCGCTTGCTCCTTTAAGACATTCAGCAACCACTCAGAAAATAAACATTCAGCATAATTACCAATGTCCTCTGAAACACACTGCCTTGGAAAACTAAGGCATACATCAAAAATTACAAACTTCAGGTCCATATTAAACACATTTTTCTTCACTAGGCTTTCTCAAATCAGGTTTTGTTGATCAAATACATAGTTGGCTGATTTTTAAGAGGCATCTATCCTAATACAGGCATTGCAAAAACGATTTGCTATTGTATTTTTGCATGCATGTGGATATGTTTTTATTGTACATGAGTCTGATGATATTCCTTTTATATATATATATATTCCTCTTTTAATATATAATAAAATCTTGCTGGAAACAATTGGTATAAGTCTAAATTGCTTTGACAGCATGTAATAATTACTAATTTTCTACAGAAGATTTAAAAAATTGGATAGCATTTCTACTACCTTTTTATCTACAGACATAATTTATAGTTTGAAGGAGGGTGTGCTCTGCAACAGTTTCTAAGCCTTTGTAATTTACTTCCACGCGCACCTTAATATTTATTCTTCCTTTCACATTATACACATTACTGCATGCACTTTTTATTTCCTGTTTTTCAGGGATACGCAACCTTTGATCCTCCAGAGGTCTTCAACTCCGGCAACTACCAGTCCCCAGTGGCCTATGCGGAGAGTTTCTTGGAGCTGACGTCCAAAACATCTCACAGGCTTTAAAACTACTGTACAGTACTCTGCTAGATGAGAGTGCATTAATTCAGGACATTCTCCCTCACAAACCCTAAAATTGCCATTCTCACTTTGAGGCACAAACATTACCCTTTTTAAGACAGTGAATGAGGACACCTCATCTATCAGAGGAACCTCTGAGACCACTCATTCACTTTACTTGAATGCTCTCCAATTCTACACCCTCCAATGTAAGGCTCGACTACAAGTACAATCATTCCCAGCCAGCATGAGCCATGATCCTGCTGGGGCCACTGCCATCAATTGTGGACCAAATATATCAGGAGAATTACCAGTGAGGTCATGTAAAATCCCCAGTGTCTTAAGATCACAGCTGGCTGACCCCTTTCTGATACAGTACTTTGAATCTACACTGTAGGTCAGGATAGAGTAAGTGTCTGCAAGAACTCAAGGCAAGATTAAGGACGCCCGAGAGCACCACAGACAGCAGTGGCCCAAATAAATCGATACAAACATACTTCAGAAAATGGCCACATTTTAAGTGGTGGTTGCAGGAAATGAGAAAAATAATCTGTTACTAGATTGCTGATGTTTTTAATGAAGAACTCTGTGTAGCTCAGTAGTATTCATTCTTTTGTTACCCCACTGAGATATATTGTTGTATCCTGTTTTCAGAATGTGGGAATGTCACCTTATTTTGACCACAACTCCCCATACCTCTCTGTCAGCAGGGAGGTCTTGTAACCAGAAAAAAGTAACTTTTCCAAACTCTCACTATTGATACTTATTTTCAGAAACATCTAATACTGAGAGGTGTTTGTTCTTCCTATGCAACCTTCAGTTTTATAAACTGAAGCAGTTGGATAGTTCGCAATACCCAGCCTTGGGTAAAAACATCCATAGGAAAAAAGAAGGGAGTGAGTGGGTGGGAGAGGGGCTGCTGAAGCCAGGTGATCTTTACAACTACAAACCAGTGTGCTTTCTGGAAGTGACTGCAAGCACATGTCTGCACTGATCTCCTGACATAACAACATTCCTGAACAGCAGGAGACAAGAACTAGTTTCCAGCTCTAATAGCCCCCTGGGGTCACCGGCCAGCCCCAGCATTCCCTTGTGCTCTGAAGTCCTTCACAGCACCTCCAAGTTAAAACTCTCATGAGGGGTGTGTGTAACGTTAATTCCTCTTGCAGCTCCAAACACATTCACTACAGCATTATTATTTTGGACGAATTAATCCGGAAAACCTCAAATTCCCTGCTTCGAATTACTACTCCACCCACAAACACATACTTGAAAGAGGAAAATTCGCTTCAGTTTTAGTTTGGGGTGGGGGTGGGAGGAAGAGTAGTTGAAACAGAGATTTTGGAAGCAGGAATGGGCTGCGGTCCTGTGCTCATTTTCCTGACAGAAAGCCAGACTTGGACTCAACGAAGCTTAATCCTGAGTAGACTTGGACAGGATGTGCAGCCAATGCGCAACCTATTACGTTGTCGTCAGGGTGTTTTTTAAAAAAGGCATCCATAACTCCTTTCGGCGGTGCTTTAGGTCAGAGGATGGACAAACAGTACCTCTAGAAATCCGACATTTTATTCCTCCCACCTACCCACACCGCCCAGCCCCGGCAACCCTGGGCATAGAATCCCGGGCGCGCGCAAACTTTAAAAAAAAGGGAAACTCGGCGTCTCCGGAGCCGCGCGAGGAACATTTTAGGTCCACACCTCCCCTTGCAGGTCAGGAAGCGCGCGATTAGATGCAACTGCCCAAGCCAATTTCCGCGTGGGCGGGCAAAGCCTCTCAGATCCTTCGGGGAAATAAGGCACTTTGAATAATCCCCCACCCCACCCCTCCCTTGGTGGGAACCCCCGCGGGCAAGGATACCGGAAAGCACCTGCAGGGGGATGAAACCGCACGCTAAGGGAGCGGGGCCATGGCGAAAGAAAACGGGCCGAGGGAGGGAGGAAGGGGAAGAAGCCCAGTCGCTAACCCCCAATCCTACACGTGCAAATACTCCTCATCCGCCTGCTGTCTGCAAACGCAAAAAGCCAGAATTCCCCTCGAAAAACAGGGAGAGAGGAAACCTCCAGTGGATCCTAAACCCGTTGGGACACAAGAGAGTAACGCGTCCCCACGCGCGAGCTTTCCCTCCCGACCGTAACCACTCACCCTCCCATCACAAAGCGCGGCAAATCTTTTCCTCAGCTCGGCAGCTCCGGAGCCGAAGTTGAACTCGCGACGGAAGGCGATGCTGAGATTAGAGCTCGCAGGCAAGCAGGAAGCGCCCGCTCGCTCGCAACCGAGGATCATCTTTGCGGGGAAGGAAGGAAAAGAAGAAGAAGAGCGGGCGGGTCACCAACCGCTCCGGGTAGGTGGAGACTCCCGAGCCGCAAGGAGGGGCCACGGATCATCAGGGCAAGCGAAGCAGCTTCTGCCAATTATTAACCCAGCGCTACCTGGGCCGGAGCGCAGAGTTTCTCCCCTGCCAGCCACAGTATACTGTAGTACAAGGCGGGGTGGAGCAATTCATCAGCCGCCAAGTCACAGCTCGGGGCAATGGGCCCGCCCCGAAACCTCTTCTCGTCTGCCTCACCTTTCCTTTCCCCGGTGCCGGATTTAGAAGAAAGAGAAGAGCGGCGGGGAAGCCCTCCTCAAGCCGGGATCGAACGTCGATCACCTGCCTAGGACATGCATTTCGAATCACCTCTTCACTGAGTCAGTCATCTGGTGATGTTTTGTAGTGGTCTGGTTTTCCCGTTAAGTGTGGAAGGGCGAAAACTGATCAAACAAGTGATCCTCGATCGCCATTCTCGAAAGGCTTCCCAGCCCTTTTTTAAAGTGGTTTACCAATACGTCTTGGATTTTTAATAACAGATAAGAGAGCAACCTCTTCAGCTATCTGGTGACGAGTTCTGTCTAACTCGAAACCTGCGGACCTCGGCGTCAAGAGAAATGGGACTCAGTGAGACTTGAATGCTTTAAGTGTTTAAAATTACAGTATTTATTCTCCAAGAGCAGTAAAGCAACCCTTGACTCTGATTTCGACTGGCTCAGATGGCAGTCTGTGGCTGAGAAGACAAAGCCTGTGGCCTGACAGAGTGTCCTATCCCCCAAATCGGGTACTGTATATGCAGACTATGATCTCACAGAATCACTTTTCTAAGTTGGTTAAAACATTTCACCCTTTCCATGCGGTACAAAATAATGGACAGCTTGTGTCCCTACTATTCTAAAGTCACACAGACATTAAGGACAATTTCTCTTCAACATATGGTCATGCAATCAAACTTCCATGTTTATGATTTTTGCTGTAAATGTCAGCAATGCATTTATATGTACCTGATTTGCAAACACAGTCTTGCATACATGTGCATTTGTGAGTGCATCACTACATTTTCCCTACCATATCTACATTTCTAGTGACAAACCTCATTGTCTTTGTTCTGTGACTCACAATTCACAAAAATTAGGTTCACTGATTTCTTCCACCCAATTTTGCTAGCTCATCATTCACAGAAGTCCTTAAGTGTCACCTCTGTTCTGCCTTTTCCTATATGTCTGTGTTCTTTAAAAATTACAGAATGCATCTAATTAGGTTCTCTGTGGACTTTTTTAACCTTCTACATTTGAATCTAAGCAAGAACGATACTGATATTGCAAGATTCATTATAATTATTATTCATAATAGTAACATGCCATTTTGTATTAAATATTATCTTCCCTCTCTTGTATGTAGGTATGTTTTACTGATCTAATGTCCAGACTGTATTAAACTGTTTGTATTAAATATTATCTTCCCTCTCTTGCATGTAGGTATGTTTGACTGATCTAATGTCCAGACTGCATTA